TACTGTGTCTAGAAAAAAAACTGTGGCCATTTAATGTTGAATTCACTTCTGTTGTCCATTTTGAGATGGCACACAATACATTAGATCAGGGGTCCTCAAACTAAGACCCGGGGGCCAGATGTGGCCCTCCAAGGTCATTTACCCAGCCCTCGCTCATTGTCAACCTAAGTCTGAAATGACTTGAAAGCACACAACAACAACAACAACAACAACAGCAACAACAACAATCCTATTTCATCAGCCAAAAGCAGGCCCACGCTTCCCATTGGAATACTAATAAGTTTATATTTGTTAAAATTGTTCTTCATTTTAATTATTGTATTGTTTTTAAGTGGTTTTGAACTTCAAATAAGATATGTGCAGTGTGCATAGACATTCATTCATTCATGTTTTGTTCTGGTTTTGTTTGTTTTTTTCAAATTATAATCCGGCCCTCCAACAGTTTGAGGGACTGTGACCTGGCCCTCTGTTTAAAAAGTTTGAGGACCCTTGCATTAGATGGAGGTAGCTTAAATAGTGCTTAGGATCCCCTGAGATCCCCCATGCCCTCTGTAGCCATTCATGGCAGAACCATAGTGTTCAAATCTCATAAACAGGAGCCAAAAAATGGTTGCAATACCAAACAATATTCTTAATAAGCTTTTCTTCAATAATGGAAGTGGTTCTGAAGGAAATTTTGTTGTTCATTCGTTTAGTCGTCTCCGACTCTTCGTGACCTCATGGACCAGCCTACGCCAAAGCTCCCTGTCGGCCGTCACCACCCCCAGCTCCTTCAAGGTCAGTCCAGTCACTTCAAGGATGCCATCCATCCATCTTGCCCTTGGTCGGCCCCTCTTCCTTTTACCTTCTACTTTCCCCAGCATAATTGTCTTCTCTAGGCTTTGCTGTCTCATGATGTGGCCAAAGTACTTCAACTTTGTCTCTAGTATCCTTCCCTCCAGTGTCGGGCTTTATTTCCTGGAGGCTGGACTGGTTGGATCTTCTCGCTGTCCAAGGCACTCTCAGAACTTTCCTCCAACACCACAGTTCAAAAGCATCTATTTTCCTTCGCTCAGCCTTCCCTAAGGTCCAGCTCTCACATCCGTAGGTTACTACAGGGAATACCATGGCTTTGACTATGCGGATCTTTGTATGCGGATCTTTATTTCTGAAGGAAATAGCAAGCCCTAATTCTCTGCATATGTCGTTTGTTTATATCCAGGTCATAAAGATCACACCATAATCTAATTACTTCAAAGTGTTCTTATTAAAGCCACCAGTATTGTTGCAGGTTAATTGCCAATAGGCAATTGGATTGCTTGGACTTGAAAAACACATTGCATTTCTAATATTATAAGATAACTGCACTGCCACATAGATTAAGTTTTTTAAGTGAATTAACAAAATACTAATTATCTTGCAGAAGCACTATGCCGAGTAAGAAAAAAAATAATTAGCAAGGAAACCTGCTGTTGTAATTTAAGCACATTACAAGAGTTCTGACAGCTATGACTACGGAGTAGTTTCCAGACAGAACGCAAACACCACATGTCTTGGAGGCAAGAAGAAACAGAGATGTCCCAAGTTCACACACTTCCGATTTTCTGATCACACACCCATTACTACTTCCTCTTCCTGTACTTTCATGTATTTTATGTTTTTGTTTGGGTTATATCAGAACACAGCAAAGGAAGCGCTAGAGACAGATACCTTGCTCTGTGGGCTGAGGCAAAAACACAAAGCCATTTCAGCTAGTCTTCAAATAAATATCCTTTCTCTGGCTAAAAGAATGGAGTTATGCAAAAGGTCTATCTTGCAACAGACTGAATTCTTTTCCCATACCCATAATCTGTTAATATCTCCAGTATTTTTATTTATTTATTTACAGTATTTATATTCCGCTCTTCTCACCCCGCAGGGGACTCAAGGCGGATTACAATGTACATATACATGGCAAACATTCAATGCCATAGACACACAACATATACAGACAGACACTCAGAGGCTATTTAACAATCCAGCTTTTTCATGAGGGTATAATAATAATAATACTTTATTTGTACCCCGCTACCATCTCCCCAAGGGACTCAGTGCGGCTTACATGAGGCCAAGCCCACAACACAGCAATAACAAAGCAAAAACAACAATAGTACAAGCAGTAAATAAAACTCATAACAGCAAATAAACAATAAACATTAACAATAGCACGACGACATTTAAAAAACTTATGGCTGGGCCAAATGTAATAACTAAAATTTTAAAATATGCTGGACATGGCAGGTAAAATATGATTAGGGTGAATTTTCAGGAAGTGATGGGCGTGCAAAAACAATCCTAGGTCATTAATAAAGTGCATTTAAGGACAGATTGCTGGGAGTTTCTGGGAAGGCACATTGGAATAACCACGTTTTCAGACGCCTCCTAAAGACTGCCAAAGTTGGGACATGCCTAATGTCCTTAGGGAGTGAATTCCAGAGACGAAGGGCCACCACCGAGAAGGCCCTCTCCCTCGTCCCCACCAGTGGCACCTGTGGGCCTCTCCAGATGATCGGAGAGATCGTGTGGGTTCATACACAGAAATGCGGTCACGCAGGTAGGCGGGTCCCAAACCGTTTAGGGCTTTGTAGGTAAGAACCTGCACCTTGAATTGGGTCCGGTAAATGAACGGCAGCCAGTATTCTGGCCACCAGGGGAGCTGTTGCTTCACTGTCCATTTGTGACACTTGATGAAGTATTTCCTCATTCTTTGCATGCTTGCTGGGGATTTTTATAGCCTCGTAAATTAGTTAAATTAGCCTCCCCACATAAGTGGTACCTTAATTACCTACTTGACAGATGCAACTGTCTTTTGGGCTGCAAAGGTCGACAACAAGCTACACAAATTGGTCGGAAGCTCACTCCGACCCGGGCTGGCTTCAAACTCATGACCCTTCAGTCAGTAGTGATCTTAATGCAACTGACTCCCAGCCAGCTGCGCCACAGTCCCGGTGCAGTATGAGAGGCTGTGAGCATCCAATGTTACATCAATCTTGATTTTACAAAATTAGCTTCAATTGATGTGGCCTAGTGATGTAAAGAAGGTGCTTGAAGCAATGTGACCACCAATATGATCTCTTCTCTGGTATCTGGTGATCTTAAATCTGATAAAGTCAAACCTGGACCCAACAAGACAAGTTCTCCCAAGCTGGTGAGATTTGAGTATGATCCTAGAAGTAGTCCGTGTGTCTTCGCTTATCTAAGCATTGAGTGGTATATCACCAAATGGTAGACGGTGAAGTGGTGAAGAATTTGCCACAGCAACAATGCACATGATAGTCAGAATCTGAATTAGTGGAGGGGCTACTTGCATTGAAAACACAGATCCACTCTGGGACAAGGTTTCAATGCAGTTTGGTGATCAACGCCATACACACACACACACACACACGGTATCCTAAAAATGTAAACATCCTTTAACAGTTAATCTTAATTATCAGAAGGCTATGAAAATACATTTATACTTATATACATTAAATGTTATAGTAATGACTTAATTAGAGTCACAAATTCCATCTTCATTTATAATTTTAAGTATTCACGTTGTGTCTGAATAGCAACAATACTTGTATTGTTGAAGAACAGAGATGTGAATCTCTGGGTGACTTGGAAGACGCTGAACAGACTGTGTTCTGGCACCATGAGATGCAGAGCAAACTTTAAGAGATGGGGCCACAAAGTGGAGTCCACGACATGTGAGTGTGGAGAACAGCAAACCAAAGAGCATCTATGACAATGTAGTCTGAGCCCTGCCACATGAACAATGGAGGACCTTCTTATAGCAACACCAGAGGCACTCCAAGTGGCCAGCTTCTAGTCGAAGGACATTTAGTATAATGCCAACATTACAACTGAACCCTCAATTCACTTCTGATACAATAAATAAATAAATAAATCTGCTATTATGCTGCTCTGAATCTGAATTTGAAGGCGCACAGAGGAACACACCCACCTCTCTATATGACTGGCAGAGTATGGTACATTAATGGAGTGCTCTTTGTAAGATTTCTGAACCTGACTTACTGAGATCATAAACAAGTAACTACATATAAAACCACAACAGTTCTTTTTGTGATAAGTTTGTTGTTCTTACGGCCTTATCACACGAGGCAAAATAACTGTCCTAAGACACTTCTGTCCCGGTTCACCCATGGAGCCCCACACTGCCCATCATATGAGATAGAGCGAGTTCTAGTGGGGCTCCATGGGTCAACTAGAACAGCAGTGTGGTAGGAGGCCAACACAAAAGCTGTCAGGAACAACAGAGTGTTCCAGGCACCAGCTGCACACCGACGCTTTCCCATGTGGGATGGAGAAGTATCAGCTGCCGGCTGGGATTGCCCTGCTGTCACCCCAATACCCCCGGTGGCGCAGTGGGTTAAACCCCTGTGCCGGCAGGACTGAAGACCGACAGGTCGCAGGTTCGAATCTTGGGAGAGGCAGATGAGCTCCCTCTGTAAGCTCCAGTTCCCCAAGCGGGGACATGAGAGAAGCCTCCCACAAGGATGATAAAAACATCAAATCATCCAGGTGTCTCCTGGTAACGTCCTTGCAAACAGCCAATTCTCTCACACCAGAAGCAACTTGCAGTTTCTCTAGTCGCTCCTGACACGACAAAAAACAAAAAAACAAAAACCAATCTACTGTACTCTATTAAGACCACTAGCCTGCAGTCAGACCATGAAACTCCCACTTCCAGCAGAAACCTGGTAGTATCTTGGCAGACACTTTTATTCAGACATTTTCAACCATGAATCGACTCAAAACCATAAGCTTATTTTCTAGAGCCAGGCATAACAAAATAGATTTGTTATTCTAAGCAGATTGAAACAATGTATATGGGAAACATTTGAGATTTAAATAAATGTGTCAGAGAGACAAAACAAACACAAAAACTCCACACTGTTTTTCTTGGTCTGAATTCTCCAACTGTCTTTCTTCAGTATAATTTTTCCTTATTTTCAGGCTTACATGATCAAGCTCACCTTTATATTGCAGGCCTGTTCCATAAGTCTTCTTGCATTCTCTTCAGCTCTGTATCTCTTGGGTAACTGTACCCTAAAAAACTTCAAAGCTCCTTCAAAGTCAGCTTGTAGAAGGTCCTCCTTGGATGTCTGCAATGAAACATAATACAGAACTTGCATTAGGTACTTAGACAACAACAGGAGCTGTTATAGTGTAGGTTTTTCATTTAGTAAGTATTCATTTATTCATTTACGTAAATTATTTCTAGACATCATAAAAATAACTACACCGTTTACAATATAAAACCAATGCAATTGAAACACAACTTAAAGAAAATATCCAGAATTCTGTGAAATCAATATAAAAGCCAGTGCTTGGACATCTTGACTTCCTGCAACCATAGGTGCCCATCACATCTCTCCTTTTTGCCTTGTATTTTATTCGTGTTGTATTTATTTATTTATTTATTTACTTCGCTTATATACCGCAGTTCTCAGCCCAGGGGCGACTCACTGCGGTGTACAACATAGCAAAGAACAAGGTGCAAAATATAAGACACAGTATAAAATAATCCACAATTCAACATTATCAGAAAACATCCTCATCAAAAACATCATCATTACTACAAAAGCCATTCCGTGTCGTCTCATCGCCAAAACCACAATCCAGTATCAATTTCCGTTGTTCATTCCTATGGTCAATTACCAATCATTGCACTTCTTGTTCAAACGCCTTCTTAAACAGCCAGGTCTTTAATTTCCTGCGGAATATCAGCAGGGAGGGAGCTAGTCTGATGTCCACGGGGAGGGTGTTCCACAGCCGAGGAGCCACCACCGAGAAGGCCCTATCTCTCGTCCCCGCCAGCCGAGCTTGAGAAGCAGGCGGGATCGAGAGCAGGGCCTCCCCGGAAGATCTCAAAGTCCTGGTGGGTTCATAGGCAGAGATGCGGTCAGATAGGTAGCTTGGGCCAGAACCGTTTAGGGCTTTAAAGGCCAATGCCAGCACTTTGAATTGAGCCCGGTAGCAGATCGGTAGCCAGTGGAGCTGGTACAGCAGGGGGTTGTATGCTCCCTGCGTCCCGCTCCTGTTAGTATCATGGCTGCCGCACGTTGGACCAGTTGGAGCTTCCGGGCCGTCTTCAAAGGCAACCCCACGTAGAGAGCGTTGCAGTAGTCTAAACGGGATGTAACCAGAGCGTGGTATTTTGAAATGGTCATATGACTAGTCAAATAAATATTATTAAAATAAATAAATAAATAAATAAATAAATAACATCTCTGATCTAATCCAACAATAGATAGCATTCATGGAAACACGGGGACAGATTTTTTCTTCTTTTTTTTCACTCTCACAAAAGCAATGATAAAAAGCTAAAACAGAGCATTTCAATGTAGTCATTAGCAACTACTGGATTAAAGGTGCTCAATCCTGGTAGCTAATAAAAGACTATAGAAAAGGAATACATCCAAAGATCACATCAGAAATCTCCTCTTCCTCTTCTCTCGAAATAATTTGTAAAGTAAACTGCAGATGGGGTGCTAGGGAGAGAGGTTTCCTAGTATTTTGTAATGCTATGTATTAGAAACACCCATTGTTTTCTTTGTCAATTTATGAATGGGTCCATTAGAAAATGCAAACCCATATAATGGGATCTTTTATAAAATTGTACAGCTGATAGGCTGCAACACCCATTAGCCCAAGACATGGTCAGGCTTGAACTCCCATCATCTCCACCTGTCAGTGTTTTAAGTTGAATCATGAAAGATATGTGTACCAAGTTTGATCCAGATCCATTGTGGGTGGGATTCACAAGGCTTTCTGGATATGGCTGGACTATAACTCCCAACATCCTTTACTAGTCTCTCATCCCACACCACCAGTATATTTGTTGGCTCATGAAGGGTATGTGTTTCATTTAGTCCAGATCCATCACACCATGTAAGAACCTTTGTGTTACGAAAAAATTATTTACTACTAGCCGTCCCCTGCCACGTGTTGTTGTGGCCCACATGGGGGTTCTGTGTGGGAGGATTGGCCCAATTCTATCGTTAGTGGGATTCAGAATGCTCTGTGATTGTAGGTAAACTATAAATCCCAGCAACTACAACTCCCAAATGTCAAGATTCTATTTTCCCCAAACTCGACCAGTGATCACATTTGGACATATTGAGTATTCGTGTAGAGTTTGGTCCAGATTCATCATTGTTTGAGTCCACAGTGATCTCTGGATGTAGGTGAACTACAACTCCAAAACCAAAGGACACTGCCCACCAAACCTTTCCAGTATTTTCTGTTGGTCATGGGAGAACTGTGTGCTAAGTTTGGTTCAATTCCATCATTGGTGGGGTTCAGAATGCTCTTTGATTGTAGGTGAACTATAAATCCCAGCAACTACAACTCCCAAATGACAAAATCATTTTTTTGAATGAAGGACATACATTGGGTTGTTAGGTATATTGTGTCCAAATTTGGTGTCAATTCGTCCAGTGGTTTTTGAGTTCTGTGAATACCACAAACGAACATTACATTTTTATTTATATAGATTTATTAACTTCATTTTTACCCTGCCTTTCTCACCTGAGAAGACACAAGGAGGCTTACAACTCCAGCAAGAATTCAATGCCAGTAAAAACCAACAAATACAAAGTTACACTCACACTTTCATTTTTCTATATACAGTATATGGTTAGATATGGAGCAGAGAAAATGAATAACTCAACTGGTCAAAAATATCACAAGCGTAAGGTACTGTATTCCTTTAGGCAATCTGTTTTCCGAGAGTGTCAGCAAACACGTAGCTAGATCTTATCCCCTGCTCTCAGGACTCAGACAGTGAAGAGGAAGAGCAGATGCCACCTGCTGAGTCTGAAAGTTGCAGTTCCTAGCATCTACCAGATAAACACAGGAAAAATGGGAGGGCCTCAGAAGATCCCAGTATCTTTATAAAAACAACTAGCCATCCCCTGCCACGCATTGCTGTGGCCCAGTCTCGTGAGCTGGAAAATAAAGTAATGAGAAAGTGTTGGTTTCTAATATATGTAATGTCTTGATGCTCGTGGGTAAACAGTATTTTTGCTGTTTCTTTGTCAGTGTTGATGTGGATATTGTCTGGTTGGCCTCTTGTGGAACATGCAACATATAATTGTCCTTTTTTAGGGGTCCTTTTAAAATCTATGATATTATATCTCTGTGTATGTGAATCATATATATCTATCTATATCTATGGCTAGATGGCTCTTTGTCAGGAGGGCTTTGATTACATTTTCTTGCCCTGGTGAAGGAAGTTGGACTCATTGGCCTTCAGTATTTTCTGTTGGTCATGGGGGTTCTGTGTAGGAAGTTTGCCCCAATTCTCTCATTTGTGGGGTTCAGAATGCTCTTTGATTATCAGTGAACTATAAATCCCAGTAACTATAACTCACAAATGTCAACGTCTATTTCCCCCAAACTCCATCTGTGCTCATATTTGGTCATATTGAGTATTCGTGCCAAGTTTGGTCCAGATCCATCATTGTTTGAGTCCACAGTACTCTCTAGATGTAGGTGAACTACAACTCCAAAACTCAAGGTAAATGCCCACCAAACCCTTCTAGTGTTTTCTGTTGGTCAGGGGAGTCCTGTGTGCAAAGATTGGTTCAATTCCATCGTTGGTGGAGTTCAGAATGCTCTTTGATTATAGGTGAACTATAAATCCCAGCAACTACAACTCCCAAATGACAAAATCATAATTTTTGAGTGATGGTCACTCCTTGTGTTGTGAGACATTTTGTTGCCAAATTTGGTGTGATTTTGTTCATTGGTTCTTTCGTTTTTAAGGTACTCATTACACACAGAGTATTTTTATATATATAGAAGAATGCTTGGCTATTAGCAAACAGCAGTGGGATGATACCAGGCTATAAATTTAGCAGATGTACTTTATTGCTGATAACTGAGTTGCATGAAAACAACAATTCTGCTTTTTATCTCTGGTTCACGTTCTCTGTGTGACCTGACCTTGGTTTTGTCATAGTTTATTCTCTTGGATTGCCCCAGGTGGACTTCTTGATTTATCATCTTTGTGAGGACCTTGGACTGCCTGACTTTGCTAAACTCTCTTTCGTTGCTCTGGATTGGACTGGCAAATTACTTATTCTGATATCTTTATGCTCTACCTTCCAAAACAAGCCAATAGGATCATTTGGTAAATGTATATATGAAAAACCAGAAGTAAAATTCATCAGTATCTTTCACAATGGGGTAACTATATATATATATATACACACACACACACACACACACACACACACACCCCGACATATACATATACATACACACACACACTAGCTGTACCCAGCCACGTATTGCTGTGGCCCATTGTGGAGAAATGGGAAACCAAGAAAAGAGGAAGAGCTGGTTTCTAAGCTATCAATACACAACTGAAGTGACAAAGTGTCAACCTAATATAGGTCCACTTCAGTCTCCTTGAAGCCAAAGGGTTATATGGATGTGTGGAAGGGCCCTGGGTTACCTGAGTCCACACTGCCATATAACCCAGTTCAAAAATATTATATAGGTATTATTATTGTTGTTATTATTACATATGTATATATATTATTATAGGCATATAGATATTATTATAGACACAAATATTATTAAAGGCATGTAAGTATTATTATTATAATTATAGATGTTATTTATTTATTTCGTATCAAAAGCATTACATAAATTAGTATAAAAATAGAAGGAGCACAGGGCTAAATATCTTTCGAGCAAAAACCGGCAACAGATGTATGGATATTATTACAGACCTACAGATATTACAATAGGCATATATATATTATAGATGTATATAGATATGTCTATAATAATCATATCTATATACACGTATAATATATATATGATTATTATAGACATAGATATTATAGGCATATAGGTATTATTATTATAGATGTATAGATATTATTGACAGACAGATATTATAATTATAGACATATGGATATTATTATTTTTTGTTGTTCATTCGTTCAGTCGTTTCCGACTCTTTGTGACTTTATTATTATAATAATATATTATTATTAATATAATAATATTATTATTATAAACCTATAGATATTATTATAGACATGTAGATATTGTGTTTATATATATATATATATATATATATATA